TAGAGGAATATTTTAATATAATACAATAATATATTTTATAATTTTATTTTGATTTTATATTTATAATGTTATATATTTGATAATATTATATTTATATCTTGATTTTAGCATACTGTGCAGAAATGTGATAAATCTATTATATGTGTAGGCTATTCTTATTTTATTGTACCTATTTTATTGTTGACAAAGCTCTGTATAGGAACTGTTTTTTCTTTTATAATTAACTTTGACATGTTCTACATCCTGTGGCATGTTTGTCAATAACGATCTATGGAACAAATAAAAAGTGAAAGTGAAAGTGAAAGATACTCCGTCCCTTGTGTTACACAGTATAACATGTGTAGTGCAGATATTGACAGAGCCGTAAAATAAGCCACCACCACTTCAGCGGAACACAAGAATAAATCAAGCGAATACTGTGCAAAATTTCTGAAACATTAACAGATGATCAAATCAAGGAGGATGAACTCCACATAGGGTTTTGATGGGAAAAACAGAAGGAAAGAGACCACTAGCAAGACTTAGACGTAGATGGAAAGATAATATTAAGATGAATCTTAAAAGAATAGGATGGGGTGGTATGGACTGGATTAATCTACTTCAGGATAGAGGCCAGTGGAGGGCTCTTGTGAATACGGTAATGAACCTCTTGGTTCTATAAAATGTTGGGAAATTCTTGAGTAGATGAGCAAATAGCGACTTCTCAAGAATGATTCTGCTCAGTGGAGTTTGCTGATTGTTTAATTAGTTAGTTAAGAGATTATTCTGAGTAACGAATTCAAATGTTAATCGCTTTGTGTCACGTCTTGTACCCGATCTGAGCTTGCATTGTGTGACATGAAAGTTGTTCATAACTTTGGGATCTTATGCATGACAATAACACCAACACAACTATGTATCTCGAAACAAAGGACTGAAACACGTCAACGCGTGTTGGCTTGCATAATCCAGCTATCAGTGTTTCTCCTCACTGGAACTATAAATGCTACAACATATGATTCCGCGTGGTACTACCGAGCGGGTTGGCTTGGGCTGGGGCCACACGAGCGCACAAAATGCGTCCGTTGTAACGAACGTCGTGACGTCCGTTGTAGAAATAAACAAGAGAGACGAATGCTGCGCTTTCTTCTGGCTCCATTGAAGACAAAAGACTACGCACCGCATTCTGCAACTGTGTGGTGTCCTCAGCAACGTCCGTCATAAAGTACGTTCGTTGCAACGGACGTACTTCGTGCGCTCGTATGGCCCCAGCCATAAACTCCTGTTCGGGAGACGCTGGGTTAAATCTCGGCTGCCATATCGGCTATCTTAGTTAACTTACTCCATGGTTTTCTCCCGTCTCTTCAGGCAAATTCCGGGATAATACCTAGATCAGTTGAAACCCGCTTCCTTCCAAACCCCTTCCAGTTCATCATTCAGTTGTCATCCTACCATCCGACGCTATGTAGTACGAGTGTAGCTACTGAAAGCCTCCTGAAACACACTTCAGCCAAGGCGACATGCGGGCTGCTCACTTTAGTTAACGGATAACAACCGGATTTGAGGTTATCACAGCGGTAGTTATGAAGAGTTCTATCTTCTGGGATAGAACGCTGTCTAGTCCGTTGAAAGTCAGCTTAGGTTTCGGAGGAACACGCTGCCTCCATCTTCACTGTTGCAGAATAAGCAAAGCAAGAAACCAGCTCTGCTTACCATCTGCTTACACACTGGTTTCTTGCTTGTATTATCCTTCGACTCTGAAGATGGAAGTGACATGTTTTTCTCCGAAACGTCGGTTGACTTCCAACGGACTACACAGCGTTATGTCCCAGAAGATAGAACTCTTCACGTAGCATGGGTCTTCTTCAGAAAATGAATTCGGCTAAATTTTATAGACACGTGATATTGTGAGGGCGGCCGCACACCAACTGCGTCAAGACAAGCACAATACATGAGATAAAAGACGCAGTCTTGCTTCATTCATGATTCGTCAGCATGAAGCTGACGTCAGCATCATGACTCAGACCGGTGTGCGGCGGTTTTCATAATCTCATTTGTTTCAAATGTGCTCCTTTCTTTGCGTCATGTCGCAGACATCGTGTCTTAACTGTTACATGTCTTGACGCATGCCGGTTTACGGCCTCCTTTAGAGAGTCAGAGATGTGTCTCATGGAGAGTAATTGGTGGGATGGTATGTGGATAGAACTGGCTAAAGACCGTGTCCAGCGGCGGACCTTGCTATTGATACTGAAATGACGAGTTCTGCTGGCATTGAATTGTTCTGTATGTTGTGTTACATTTCTAGTGTAACATCCGGTCTTGTGAAAACGTATATTACGTGAATAACACGCGTTAGTGGTTTAGTTTCTCGCAGCTTATCTTGCAGCACATTGTTGAATCCGGTACCAATATTCTCACTGCGAAAGACCGTCAGTGTACTAATTGAATCAGTCTACTAATTAAAGTTTATTTAAGTTTAAACCTGTCCGTCCATAGATTAATAATTATGTAAACTTGAAAATATATTAGTCATGCTAAACTCTTTGGAAAATGACCTTGTAATTACTGCTATCATTATCATACTTTTACTCCATGTTACAGGGCAATTTGTTCAGGCAGGCCTTGTCCCTAAGGTTTACCGTGTAATTGCTTCCTGGAAAATGCATTTGAAACAAACTGCTTTAAGATTGGGTGATATATAAGAATTTAGTTCCTACCTCACAGGAAACACACTACGTCTCCGCTACAAGCCCAACCAGTTAATGCTGTTTAGAGAAACAGTCGCTGTTTATTGTGAGAACCATACGGAACACAGATACACTCTGTGCGCAGAATGCGGAGTTTTGGTATGTTAAAGCAGGTGGTATATACAGTAACTGGCGGGCTTGAAAGGATTAAATAGTATGTTAATATCTTCAAGACGTGTGCTGTTCCCAGAACGGCCGTCTTTTGTAATTCCTTTTAGGGGCCGCTGGTTATTGTTATTACAGCCATTGGTGGCTGTTGAGCTCAGCACGTAAATAAACTTACTTACTTACTTACTTACTTACTTACTTACTCAAGGAGCGGAGCCCTTCTTGAGGAGCCGCCAATTCTGCAGCTACTCAAGAATTTCCCAGCATTTTATGATCCACGGGGGTTCATTGCCGTGTTCACAAGAACCCTCCACTGGTCCCTATCATGAGCAAGAACAATCCAATCCACACCATCCCATCCTATCTCTCTAAGATCCATTTTAATATTGTCCACCCACCTACTCCTTGGTCTGGCCTTTCCAACAGTATCCTATATGCATTCATCTTCTCTCTCATTTGTGCCATATGCCCTCGCCACCTCATCCTCCTTGACTTGATCATTCTAATTATACTTGGAGAACAGTACAAGTTTTGATGAAGTAAATAAACAAAGAATTTAATTGAACTATTATTCTCTCCACAATGGACAAACATAACTGTAATCTCTCCACGAAATACCATTATCTGTACCTGCACATGTTATGAGGCATTCGTGAAATCTCTTTCACACCTTGTGTCATGCGCCGAAGAGTCACTGACCTATCTGTTGGTGGTGACAAGTGTTCCCAAGTCCGATTGTGATATCTCGAGGAATTACGGCCGTAGTCGAAGCAGTCGGTTGCTGAAAGTGGGCCCGTTTCAGACGCCACATTTGCGTGATTTCCTCAGGTACTACTACATATATATACATAGTTATTGATTTTGCTTGCATATGTAGTTTGCAGATTCTGATTTACACACTGTGCTATTATATCTGTGGGGGAGCACGCGGTAGCGTAGTTGGTTGAGGCACTATGCTACAAACCGGAATATCCCGGGTTCGATTCTCGATGTGGTCATTGGATTTTTCAATTGGCCTAATCCTTCCAGCCGAACTATAACCCTGGGGTCAACTCATCCTCTAGCAGAAATGAGTACCAGGAATCTTCCTGGGGGTTAAAGAGCGACCGGCGCGTAAGGCTGACAACCTTACCGCAAACTGTGATCTGATTGTCTCGAGAAAATGTGGGAGTCTCGACGTCTCACAACCCTATGGGCCTCCACGGCCTGTTACAGGGATAGCCAACCGGACAGTTAGATTTAGAGTTAATTCTCTAACTTGTATTCGGAAGATGCTCGGTTCGAATCTCGGCTGAGACACCGGCTGTCCTGAAATTTGCCCTTGTTTCTCCATTAGGCCACGACCACTCCATCCAAACCCTGTATAATTCATTAGTCATCTGTCATCCTATCATCGACGCTACAGCGTCGTTAAATAACCAACTAAAAATATCCGGCTTCTTTCTTTGCTGATCATTATATTATTATTATATCATTATAATATGCAGGCGTTATTATTATTATTATTATTATTATTATTATTATTACTATTATTCCTCTTTAAACGCCGAACAGTGTTGAATGACATGGTCTTGGGGGCGTCTGTTAACTTAGACACACAGAAGAATAAATAACAACACAAGACTTATCTCGGTACTTACGCCGGCTACAGTACTGCTTCTTCCTGTGTCAGTACTTAATCGAATTTCACTTTCATTCATCAGGGTATTTATATAAAAGTAGAGGGAACTATCAAGAATGCCCTAATAAAAATTACCGTTGTTATTATTCTGCTCGCAAACTCGCAAAATCAACCTCATCCACATATTTCAAGCCCTAAATTTCATTACATAAGAATTTCATACATCAAGAACATAAACAGAACATACGTAACATAAGAAATTCATTCACAATTTTAATCCGAATACCTGAAGAGAAAGGACAGCTTTGAAGCAGGTTTAGTTGGTTAAATCAAAAATACTTTTGTGTCCAGCCGGCATAAACTCGAAGTTCAGGCTCCTCTGTTTTAAACTGCCCCAAACCACGAGCTTCACTGCAACTACTTCACATATGAACACAGACGACCTGAAGGTCCGACAGATGTATACGAACTTACAGTGTTCAGACAACGTGCCCGCTGCGGTTGAACGCAATTCGGAAGCGAAACACAGACGGTGCGTGTGCCTTCGGCGGTAATGGAACGCGGACTGAACGTCTGGTCCCCACTGTCCATGCCACTTCTCGCGCGAGTGCAGCCGAACAGCAGTTAGACTCATCGGAGCAAAGTCATTCTTACGAAACTGATAGTTGTTGTATTGGTCATGCCACTCCCACTCTGTTGCGAACGCGAAGGTTCATTTACCACGATCACATGAAGTAGACACTGAAGTGCTTGAATCCAGTCCGCACTTCTCACGCTGTTTCTTTAACCTATGCGTACATTTTAATATTATCTACAAATGTACGTCTAGAGAGAGCTGGGATATGTCAGCTATATAGACTATGGCTGGACGACCGGGTAATTAGGGTTCGATTACAGGCAGGGGTAAGAGAATGCTCTGTTTTCTACGGCTTCTGGACACATCTTGAGACCTACTCAGCCTCCTATCCAGGGGGTACCGGGTTCATTCCCAGGAGATAAAAGCGGCAGAACAGCAGGGGAAAGCTACCTTCTCAAACCACTGGAAGCTTAAATAATAAGATGTATTTTCTTTCATATAGCTTCAATATTGATTGAACAAAAAGATGCTACAAGCAGGAAATCCGCGGGTTCGATTCCCGATGAGGTCGTTGGACTTTTCAATTTACCTAATCCTTCCGGCACGCGGTAGCGTAGTTGGTTGAGGCACTATGTTACAAGCCGGAAGGTCGCAGGTTCGACTCCCGATAAGGTGTTTTTTTTTTCAAATTGATCTAATCCTTTCGGCCGCACTATGGCCCTGGATTCGACTCAGCCTCTAGCAGAAATGAGTACCACGAATATTCTTGGGAATAAAGCGCGGCCGGCGCGTAAGGTTGAAGGAAGGCAAGTGGAAAGAAACGGGAAAGAAAAATTCGTGGCCGATTTCAGCACAAAGTCTCTGTTACCTCAAGTCAGTGAAGGGAGCCTCAACTCAGACAGCAGGTTAGCTGGTTGATCCTCAAATTCAGCATACATAAATGGGAATTTGAATTTGGGGCTCTCACTGCGGTTACTGCCTTGTAACGCTGTGTAGCTGGAATAAAATCCTTTCGGAGGAGCACACTGCATCCATCTTCAGGGTTGATGCATAAGCGAAACAGGGTGACCAGCAAGAAGCAAGCTTGCCTTCGACTCACATGGAGCACGTGCACTTAGCATATGCTGCACCCCTCGTTGGCTTGAACCTAGAGGAGACTTACAGAAGCTGGCTAACCGTACTAAAATGATCACACTGCGGATAGAATTAGTTCCCCTTACATTTATTTAAACCTTCACACCATCGAAAATAAATTGAAACAAAAATTGTAGACCGTTATGAGATGTATATTTTATGTGACATATATTTTCTTTTGTACTATGAATAGTCCTTCAGCAAACCGACGTTTTATCTGAGTTCAACGTTCAGTATTTATGTATCTGTCTACCGCCCTATCTACCTACCTATGGCTCTACAGCCCTGTGGACCTTGGCCGCTTTTTCACTTTCTTGAGTCATACACAGCCGGAAGGACTCCTTGGACAGGTCATCAGACCGTCGCAAGGCCGCTACCTACACACAGAACAGCACAAATTCAGAATAAACGCACACAGACATCCATGTCTTGAAAGTGTGACTCGAACGCACGATCCCAGTGTTCGAGAGGGCGAAGAAAGTTAATGCCTTAGACCGAGCGACTACTGTGAATATCTACTTAATATTAAATTTATTTATTCATTATAAATTCATGGCACTTATCCACATAACTTTATATAACCTCGGAGTTTGGATCACGTGGTCGTACTTATGCCGCCATATTGAAAAGTTACTTCCCGATCCACTGTTTTTTTTCCTTGGCACTACAGCCCCAGTGGGCCTAGGCCTACCTCTATGAACTTCTCCGTTTACTTCGGTTTTTCTAGATCTTACAGATACGGTGGGACTCCTTGGGCGGGTGATCAGCTCGTCGCAAGGCCTCTACCTGTACACAAACTCAGAAAAACGAACGCAAACATCCATGCCCTGAGTGGGATTCGAACCCACGATCCCGGTTTCCAAGCGAGCGAAGACAGTACATGCTTTAGACAGCTGGGCTACCGTGACGGGCCCCGATCCACTTTGCTCTGATATAATTGCAGATATCAGAACATCCTTATTTCCTAAAAATTTAACTAAGATACACGAACTGCGTTCAGATTTGCAGATTGCTGTAGGGGCCCCCGTGCTCACCAATCTACGCAACAGGCAATCCGCCGACCTTACGGGCATAGGGAGATAAAGAACGAGATAGTTTTTTATTCCCTTTCTTCTGATTTTCCTTGACCTCCTATTGATTCACGTAAAGGTAAAGGTGCCGGTCACGGTAGCCGAGCGGTCTAAGGCATTGTGGGTTCGAATCCCACTTAGGGCATGGATGTTTGTGTGCGTTTTTCTGTGTTTTTGTACGGGTAGAGGCCTTGCGACGAGCTGATCACCCGCCCAAGGAGTCCTACCGAATGTGTAAGATCAAGAAAAACCGAAGTGAACGGAGAAGTTCATGGAGGTAGGCCTAGGCCCACCGGGGCTGTAGTGCAAAGGAAAAAAATAAAGTTGTCCCTGCGCTTAATTAGTTAAGCACTACACCATGAAGACATATGGGGACGTGAAGGTATAGCTCCACTATTCTTGACCTCTGCACTAGATTGAGCCGAGTGGTCAGCTTCACGCACTTACTGCTTTACCCCCCGGTACCCACTGGAGAGGAGGCTCGGTGATCCCCAGGGCCGGTAATACCCTTCTCCTACTCCTAATGTTCGGCCGATCATAGTGGCATCGCGGTCTGAGGCCTTAAATGTTTTCGGCCGCTCGAAAACTGGGATAGTGGGTTCGAATCCTACTCATGGTATGGATGTGTGTTTGTGTTAGGTAGCGGCCCCGTTCAAGAAGTCCTACCGACTGTCTAAGATTAAGAAACTGAAGTGAAACGAAGAGGTTCATGGATGTCCTACGCTCCAAGTGGGAGCAACAGAAGAAGAGGAGCTGCTAGTGTTCAGCACAGGGATCCGGCCCAGTCCTCCCTCTCCCTGTATCCCCATTTTCCACGCTCGTCTTTCTCTTGTACCATGAATAAGGAGGCAACGATTTCCTCCGAAACACTAGTAACGACGTTGCACACTAAGCCGTCAGAGTACTGTCGGGTAATATTTTCTCTGTCTCGGCTAGGTTTTGTGTCTGTGTCACGTCTGCGCTAGAGCAGTACCGACATAATAAGCAAACCAGGATTTGTTAGATCGGTCACCGCCCGGTCCAGTTGTTTTCGTTTTGGGTGGCGCTCCGGAAGTTTGCGAGTATGCAACACGCCCATCATAGAGACCGATGTTCTGTACTCTGTATTCACAAGCCTGGCCTATAGCAAAATCGTGGGATAAAAACTGTATGCATAGTGCGCTCATATGTTACGCCCAAGAACGTCGCCCGCTGTCCAGCATACAAGCACACAACGAGGTACGCAAACGTGAGAGAACTGAACACTGCACAGCCGCCTTTATACTACAGAATGATTTGACTACACCGTCCAGTGTGACCCATATGATGCATTTACATGTTTCGGTCAATTAATGACCATCGTCAGGAGGAAAATAACAACACACTGAGGAAACTACTATTACATTTTTTTTATTGCTAGTGGAGTGGGACTAAGTCCCTTGTACTGCGGCCACTTCTGGCCTATTGTACCAGCCCCAGATGATAGGTGAGGGTGATTGTGGAGCAATTGGTGGAATGAAGATTGGCAGGGGAAACCGAAGTACTCGGAGAAAACCTGCCCCAGCGCCACTTTATCCACCACAAATCCCACTTGACCAGACCCGGGGTCGAACCCGGGCCGCCGAAAAGGGAAACCAGCGACTAACCGCTTGAGCTATGGCGCGGCCTACTATTACATAAATCGCAGTACATCAAGTTCAAAGTTGTCCAAAATTTTATATGAAGATTTTAATTAAGGAGTTAAAATATTAATACAGTTCTTAATATTTAAAATCTTAAACAGCTAAGGTTCGTGTATTGTGCCTCTTCTATCAACGGGATACTGGGTAGATTCCCGCCCTTGGAGGTGTTCGTTCTTCTTTATACTGTTGGTTAAGATTCTGAGTTTTTGTTGGGCTGTTTCTCCTTTCGTACAGTGCCTCAACAAACAACGAAAGGAGAAACAGCTCAACAACACAGATTCTTAACCAACAGTATAAAGAAGAACAAACACTTCCAAGACCTCCAAGGGCGGGAATCTACCCAGTATCCCGTTGATAGAAGAGGCACGAATATATGAACCTTAGCGGTTTAAGATTTTAAATATTAAGAACTGTATTAATATTTTAACTCCTTAATTAAAATCTTCATATACAATTTTGGAACAACTTTGAACTTGATATACTACGATTTATGTAATAGTAGTTTCCTCAGTATGTTGTTATTTGCCTCCTGAAGACGGCCATGTAGAGGCAAGATATATTTATATAAACATACTTTTGAGTCACACTGCACCGTGTAGTCAAATCATTCTGTAGTACTGACTAGCGTGACGGACCAGAATGAATAAAGTTAAAATACGCCTTTATCTTTAGGGTCGAAAATACGTTAAACAATGAGCAGGAAGTAAATAGAAAACTTACCTCCGAAACGTCGGTGAGCTACCGGAATACACAGCATCACATCCCATCATAGTCACCTCTGTGAGAACGTCAGGTCCAGCATCGTCAAGAGTTCGGAACGCGTTTCTGTATTTTGTGTAGTCACCGGGTACAGCGTCCGGCAAGGGAAAGAGGTTCGCTACTCCACAGGGTCCAGACCGGCTCTGGAACCCACTCAAACTCCTAATGAATAGCTACCGAGGCCTCCCTACTTCGCCGGTAATGCGGCCGGGGCGTGATGCTTACCACTCACCTCCATGTGGTGTTGAGGCTAAGAATGGTGGAGCTCTGGGCCGCGCCATAGCTCAGATGGTTAGTCGCTGTCTTCCCACCGCGGCGGCCCGGGTTCGATCCCGGGTCTGGTCAAGTGAGATTTGTGGTGGACAAAGTGGCACTGGGGCAGGTT